CCCGGCCAGGATCCGTTGCCGATCGGTTTCGCGCGCTCCCGTGAGCACGCTTGCTGAGCATTGCTCTTTGCCTCCTGGGCAGGGCCGGTTCCGGATCTTTCTCCGCTGCAGCTGGGGGACTTGGTCCTGCTGGTACCTGCTGGGCTCTTCGTAGCCGCTCTTTCCAGAGGTGGGTGGGTGTGAGCTCCCCCGCCTGTCCCGCGTTGGCGTCGGCGGGCCCGCGGAGGGGCGCTCAGGCGCTGGCCGGGAGCCTACCCACCTCCCTGGGAGGTACGCCGCGGGCGCCCCGGGGAGAGCGCTTTCTTTGCCCGTGGCCTTTTGCTCGTGGCGTGGCGTCGCCGTTCACCAGCGGACGCGGTGGCTTCTCAGGACGCGCCGCCCCACACCCCACCCTGTTCGTCTAGTCGCTCAAATCCCCCTGCTCGCCCAGGCCCGCGGCTTGCCGGGCCCCGCAGCTGCCGGTGTCCCCACAGATCGGCTTTCCACGCGGAAGCCAGAGAGGTCTTGGCAGATCACAGATCTCATCTTAAAACCAACAGGTGGCAGGGCGCCTGGGTGGCCCAGTCGGTTAATCATCCAACTTCAGCCCAGGTCATGATCTTCCTGTTCATGAGTTCGAGCCCCACGTCAGGCTCTCTGCTGACAGCGCAGTCCTCCGTCCCCCTCTCTCTCTCTCTCTCTCAAAAATAAACATCAAAAAAACAACACAACAGCAACAGGTGGGTTCTCACTGCTCTGTGGCAAAGACCAAAGTCCAAGTCCTAATCACGCACTATCAGAATGCCTGTGGTCTGGCCCCCACCTACTCGGCAGCCTCTCTCCCTACCAGGCCCTTTCATTCCCGGTGCTCTAGCCATCACTGCCCTTCCTTCCATTGGCACAAGGCACTCACTAACCACAGGGCCTTAGCACATGCCATTCTTTCTGCCCGAAATGTTCTCCCCAGCGCTCCATCTGTTTACTGTAACCGGTAAATTTCAGTCACCCAATTTCATTTCAGGGGCAACATCACTTAATCAGGGAAACCTTCCCTGCCTTTCCATCCTTTGCATTCCTGACTATTTGTTTACTGTCTCTCCAGACTACAGATGCCTAATTTTGCACATCACTGGTTTTCCCAACTTGCAACACAATGCCTGGTGAAAAGTCAGTGCTCAACCAATATTTGCTCCGCAGGAGTGGAGTAACTTGTCTTAAAAGAGCAGCTACTGTTACAAAAGAGTGACGGACCTATGACAGGAAGGAGGTATAGGAAACTAGAAGAATGCTGGCCCTAACCGACCTCCTGTATGAAACAAGGATGAATTTGTACCCAAATCAAAGGTGGCTGCTATTGGCAAAGCAGAAAGCTTGAGAGAAGCCAGGCTGCCTTGAAAGCAATGAGGTAAAAGGGATTTTCATGGAAGCACAAAATGGAAGAGAGTCTGTGTGTCATGGGACAAAGGACACAGGGCTGGAGAAAAGGGGAAGAAGAGGCAAAAACATTACAAGGGAGGATTACTAGAGGGGTTGCCACTGGGCAGTGACCACAGTGGAAGCAGGACACCTCAATGTTTCTGAAAAGGAATCTGCCATAAACACCATTTCTATTGGGAAGCCTGGGGGCTCAGTCGGCTCAGATCATGATCTCAGGCTTCATGGGTTCCAGCCACACATTGGGCTCTGTGCTGACAGCTAAGAGCCTGGAGCCTTCTTCAGATTCTGTGTCTCCCTCTCTCTTTGCCCCTCTCCCACTCACACTCTGTCTCTCTCAAAAATAAATAAACATTAAAAAAAAATCATTGCTATTTGACTACTCGAGCTGGCACAGTGAAAACCCATACTCATGGTCTGGGATATTTTTCAGGCATACAAATGAATTTACAATTTCCATTCTGGGCAGGACAATAATAAGACCACAGAGATCCTAGACGGGCCAGGCATCACTAGGCTCATGATCAGATTCGACTTCTTTTACAATTATGGTTTACATCTTACATAATGTTCCATAATACACATTCTAGCAGATACAATTGGCTATAACGTACCTATTTGAAGTGCCCAGGGAAGTGTGACTGCCTTCGTGTTTTAAGTTACAACCTTGAGAAATGAGTACAATTTTTTTCTTTTTTTTTTTTAATTTTTTTTTTTTTTAACGTTTATTTATTTTTGAGACAGAGAGAGACAAAGCATGAACGGGGGAGGGTCAGAGAGAGGGAGACACAGAATCTGAAACAGGCTCCAGGCTCTGAGCTGTCAGCACAGAGCCCGACGCGGGGCTCGAACTCACGGACCGCGAGATCGTGACCTGAGCTGAAGTCGGCCGCCCAACCGACTGAGCCACCCAGGCGCCCCAGTACGATTTTTTTCAACTGTAGAAACTAAAAAACAAAAACTGTAGAGACTGAATAACAAAGATTAAGAGAAATCGTGCATTACCTCACAAGATACAGAGCATGTGTCAATGAGGTCTTAAAGAACTGTACCTGACCATCCCATGTGCCTCATACTTTGAATTCATACAGTACTTGTGCCAACAAGATTTATTTGCTTAAAGATCCTTTTCCTCATCAAATTCCATGATAACCCAAACCTTTTCTTTGTAATTTTAATCAAGTCTGAATTGAAATGGTTTTAAAGCTTATTTTTACTTTCACAGTTTTTTGTGTCTCTTCTGCTGCCACACAAATCTATTTTGTTGCGTGCTATCCGATGTTAATGTAGGTCTGTGAAAGTGTTAAGTGGTTTTTACCATCATTGCTGGGTTTTTTTTTTTTCTTATGTTTATCTATTTTTGAGAGCTAGCCCACGCATGCGAGTGGGGGAGGGACAAAGAGAGAGGAGGACAGAGGATCCGAAGTTGGCTCCAGGCTCTGTGCTGACGTCAGTGAGCCCCATCTGGGGCTCAAACCCACGAACCGTGAGATCACGACCTGAGCCGAAGTCAGATGCTCAAGCGACTGAGCCACCCAGGCGCCCCTAGCGTCGTGACTGTTATCTATACGTGTAAACTATTTCGGCATTAATATGATGTGTTGGTATCTTACTACCTAATGTCTTTAGCATTTTATCCCAAACCCCCAACTCAAATTTCAGTTCGGTATAATTTGGCTGTTTTCTTTTATAATTTGTTAATGTAGCTACTAAAGTTATAACCAAGGTTTAACCTCTCTGAAATTTACAAATCAATGAGGGCATACTAATCACTTACAGCTTGGATGAAAATGGAGAGCCATTTGGTTTTGTACTATTTCCTTGGTAATTTTCTCAAAGGAGCCTGCTGTGTTAACAGTAACCCTAGCTAGTAACTGTTTTGGTAGCTTATTAGCAACTGTATCTGTTCTCCGTTGTCATAATAATACATAGTAAATATCTAACAAGTAACATACAGCAACAGATTTTGTGGCTTAAAACAGTAATCAATCCTTGATTCAGCTCACAATTCCGTGGGTTGGCCATTTGGTCTGGACTGAGCTGGGTGGTTCTTCTGGGCTGGCTGGTCTTTGCTCCTGTGCCCATGGCCTGCCACCTGGTTGGAAGAGAACTAGCTGGTCTAGGATGCGCTGGGACACAGCTCGTCTCTCTGTCATCCCTCGGAGGGGCTTATTTACATGGCGGGCACACTCAAGAAAAAGCCCGCAGGCCTTGTGAGGTCCGTGTGTGGGACTGGTGTGCAGTTGTTTCTGACACAACATATTGGCCAAAGCAAGACACAAGGGCAAAAAGATCCGAAGAAGGGGAGGGGCGCCTGGGTGGCGCAGTCGGTTAAGCGTCCGACTTCAGCCAGGTCACGATCTCGCGGTCCGTGAGTTCGAGCCCCGCGTCAGGCTCTGGGCTGATGGCTCAGAGCCTGGAGCCTGTTTCTGATTCTGTGTCTCCCTCTCTCTCTGCCCCTCCCCCGTTCATGCTCTGTCTCTCTCTGTCCCAAAAATAAATAAACGTTGAAAAAAAAAAAAAAAAGATCCGAAGAAGGGGAAATAAACTTCCCCTGCTGGTGATAGGAGCTGCAGAGTCACATTACAAAGGGCCTGGACACGGGGCGCCTGGGTGGCGCCTGGGTGGCGCAGTCGGCTAAGCGTCCCCACTCTTGATTTCCTCTCAGGTTGTGATCCCGAGGTTCATGAGTTCGAGTCCCTCGTGGCGCTCTGCACTGATGGTGAGAAGCCTGCGTGGGATTCTCTCTTTCTCTCTCTCTCTCTCTCTCTGCCCCTCTCCCAGGTGTGCATGCTCTCACTCTCTCCCTGAAAATAAATAAGAACAAAAAAGGGCCTGGACAAGGGAGGGGTGGAGAATTGATGCCATTTGTGCAGTCAATTCTACTACAGTCCGCCCTTTGGCCCCAATTATTGACACGTCTCCACCGGAAAAACACTCCCCTCCTCCCAAGATCCCCAAAAGTCTCATGCAGTACCAGTACCCGGCGCAAAGGGCAAGGCCTCGTGGCCTACACTAGGTCGGATGTGGCCCAGGCCCATAAACTAAACATATCAGTTATCCAGCCCCCACACGGCGTACAATGGCCATGGTGGAAAGGACAGCCACAGCGAACGCTGGCATTTGGAAAGGGGGAGAGGGAGTGCACAGAGCGATCACTGGTCCGCAGCAATCCCTAAATCCGCTGGGGCAACGTGTTCAGGACCGCAGGAGTGGGGAGTGTCCTCTGATCAGGGTGAGTTCGGCCTGCTGGGAGCACTTCCCTAGGCCCTACCCCAACATGCCTCTTGCCTCTGCCCTCTTGGAGATCGCTCCTTGTCCGGCACCCTGTTGCTCGCTTTGAAAAATGTGCCCTTGGGGCGCCTGGGTGACGCAGTCGGTTAAGCGTCCGACTACAGCCAGGTCACGATCTCACGGTCCGTGGGTTCGAGCCCCGCGTCCGGCTATGGGCTGATGTCTCAGAGCCTGGAGCCTGTTTCCGATTCTGTGTCTCCCTCTCTCTCTGCCCCTCCCCCGTTCATGCTCTGTCTCTCTCTGTCCCAAAAATAAATAAACGTTGAAAAAAAATTTAAAAAAAAGAAAAATGTGCCCTTCAGGGACACACGCACCCCCATGTTTAGAGCAGCGCTATCGACGATAGCCAAAGCATGGAGAGAGCCCAAATGTCCATCGATGGATGAATGGATAAAGAAGAGGTGGGATATATAGACAATGCAGTATAACTCGGCAATCGAAAAGAACGAAAT